AAAAAAAAAAAAAAACTTATACCTTAAAAATTTGGAAAATTCTAAGACAGCATATCCTAGACCTGAAACCAAGGGAGTGACTACACAATCTTTTGCTAAAGACATCAGGATTGTTGAAGGGAAAGGCAATGTAACAAAAGTGTGTCACCACCACAGTAACAATAGGGAAAAGAAGGACACAGAGAGGTGCACAAGAGGTATAGACACAGAGGCAAATACTGTTACATACACAACACTGTATTATCAGTAACAATAAACACTAGTCTACGGGGGGATTCACAGACAGGTGAGAAATCAGGCATGGGTAGATGAACAGGAATGACCATAGATAGATTTGGTTGATGGTATTCCTATATATGTATTTGTGCTACAAAAATCCATATACATTATAGAACTATCAGGGGACAAGGTTGAAGTAGCTTCCCAGTGACAACCAAGCACGTTGAGGGAGTCAGTCACCAGACCTGCAGCTCAGGACCATGGTCTCAGGGGATATTAAGCTCAATTGGCACAACATAGCACATAAAAATCTTGTTCTATATCATACTTTAGTGAGTAGCAACTGAGGTCTTAAAAGCTTTCGAGCAGCCATCTAAGATGCAACTATTGGTCTCATCTCGTCTGGAACAAAGAAGAGTGAAGAAAATCAAAGTCATATGGAAACAATTAGTCCCAGGGTCTGATGGACCTCAGGAACCTCAGCTTTCATGAGCCAAACACAAGAAGAACTAAGTGGTGCCTGACTACCAATGCCAAGCACTTAGAAATGGATCAAAATTGGAGATTGTAGGTAGAGTAGTAGGAAAAATGTGGAGCAAAATTAAAAAACACAAAAATGACCAGAATTAATGGTTGGATAGAAACAAATGAAACCCACAAGACTATGGCCCTGTGTTATCCTTTAGGCTTAGAACTGGACTCACTTCCATGAATTAGCTCTCAGCCAAACAGTAGAAAGGCCTACAGGAAGAATACCTACCCCAGGGAGATGTACCCACCTACCCCAAGAAGACGCACCCCTTAGATCAACCAACCGTGAAGATCAGAAAGGCAGCATTTGCATAGAGGGAAAAGCTGGATGACAGGAATGTACAGATAAGAAGGACACAGGCAAGGGATAGTCACTGGAAGGAGATGGGAGGAGAGTTGCTTATTGTTGGGATTGTAATTGGTGCCATGAAACCCAGTGTGTATGGACTGTTGAGAGTAAAATGAATCTGCCTTGTCAATTTGCACCCAAATCACAATTTAAAGAGAGAGAGAGAGGGAGGGAGAGAGAGAGATATCAGGTCTGTGAATGATGGACCTAATCAAGCACTGCAGCAGAAATCCTGTCAGTTATACCTACAGGGACAGAGACAGGACAAAATGAAGGAAAGCTGAATGTTTGCTGGAATTCTACAGGCAGAAAATAGGCAATTGGAGCTACTTACTTGGAAAAAGCAGTTGTCCTTCAAGAAAAGGATGGGAAATATTCCAGGAGCAGTTCAGACCAGAGAACTGTAAGAAACACAGAGGTCAGGGCTGCTATTTCCTGTTTCAAATGGTGGAACTATTTCCATCAGGATTTTAAGGGATGGGTATACTGCCTAGGAGAGCTCTGGTGGCGTTGTGTCTAAGGCACTTGACTGCTAACCAGAAGGCTGGCAGTTCGAACCTACCAGCCACTCCTCGGAAGGAAAGTTGGGAAAATCTACTTCCGTAGTGATACTGCCTGGGAAACCCAAGGAGGGGTCGCTATGAGTTGGATCCAACTCGACGGCAGTGAGTTTGGTTTTTGAGTTTATACTGCCTAACTGTTTCTTCCCTTGTTGAGTAGTGCCACATCGCAAATGAAGTTCCAAAGCCTTACTCCACCTACATCATTAAGGTCAACTGCTATGAGGAGGCAGCTCTTCCCCAGTCATATTTTGAGTGCCTTTCAACCTGGGGGACTCATCTCTCAGCACTATATCAGCCATTTCACTGCTATTCATAAGGTTTTCTGTGGCCAGTTTTTTAGAAGTAGACCACCACATTCTTCTTCCTAGTCTGACTTAGTCTGCAAGCTCTGCTGAAACCTGTCCACCATGGATGACCCTGCTGGTATTGAAATACCAGTGGTATAGCTTCCAGCATGACAGTAACATGCAAGCCACCACCGTATGACAAACTGACAAGAGGAGTGGTGGAAAATATGGCCTTGTTGATAGAAATTATGCCAGTGATTACATGACAGAGTTTTGCAAGACCAATGACTTATTCAAGTGTGTTTGCTTTTCCAGCTTGTAAAAACTACACATTCTCTGGCTGGGGGCACATTTTTCCAATTCTTCAATCTTTTGTTTTCATTATCACTGTAAGGAGAAGGGGAGGATCCCCAGTGAGTTCAGGGTAGTACTTGCAACAAGGGCCAAGGGTCCAAAGAAATGACCCAGAGCCATTCTCTGTGACATGGATTTATGGGAGTTACTTAGAGGGTTGGATGGACAGAAGAAAAAACAAAACAAAACACCTTCTTAGAGTTACAGGCAGTTTTTATACTGAAGTACACAAAAGGGCACCCTGCCACGCTTACCTGACCTTCGATTCTCACTCCTGCATACCTGCATCCCAAGAAGTAGAGCTCTGGGCCCAGGTATCCATGCAAATCTCTCAGGGCTGTTTCAAGGCCTGGCTTACAGCCCAGCGTGCCCACAAAAACAATGATCTGAAGGAGGCAACCTGATAAGGACCTTTGCCATCTGTAGGTATGCAGTGTTTACCCCACCACAATCCTATTAGCCCTTTGGTCCTCCTGCCTCCTTCTTGTAAAGACTGATGTGATTGTATCGGGCCCACTCAGATAATTCAAATAATCTCGAGATCTGAAGATGCTTCATTTCATTACATTCACACAGTTCCTTTTGCATGTAAGACAACATATTCACAGGTTCTTGGGATTAGGATGTGGGTATCTTTTGTTGTTGTTATTTGCGGTTGAGTTGGACCCGACTCATAGCGACCCCTCCCTGGGTTTCCGACGCAGTATCACTACGGAAGTAGATTGCCCAACTTTCCTTCCGAGGAGTGGCTGGTGGGTTTGAATCGCCAGCCTTCTGGTTAGCAGTCAAGTGCCTTAGGCACTACGCTAGTGGGTATCTTTAGGGGGCGGTTATTCAGTTTTGAACAGCGGTTTGAGGAATCTTAAAATACTGGGCCTGGAGCTGGAGTTGGTGCTGGTGGTGGTGCTGAAGGAGTAGGAAGGGAGTGGGAGGAAAGGAAGCCAGGGAAGTGATGGGGTCAGAACGAGCCAGGGCTTAAAGGATTCTCTAAGGACTTTGGCTTTTGCTCTGAGTGAAATGGAAGTCATGTGAGGCTTGTGAGCAAAGGTGAGCTTGTTAGATTTTAACAAGGCAAACTGTGGCTGTTGTGAGGAGAAGAGATTCTGAAGGGAAGCCAGGAGATCAGGGAGGAAGGAACTGTGCCAGTCAAGGGGCCAGATGATATGACAGGGTAGGGGTCCTGGAGCTGTAGGAAAGTGACTGAACTTCGGATGCATTTGAAGCCAGCCAACTTCCTCCTGACAGATGGAATATAGGGAGTGTTAGGAAGAATTGTCCACACCTAGACCTTGTTGGGGCCTCCAGGACTGAGGACGGGCCACCTGAATCCAGAACTCAGTCACTGGTCCACATAAAGGTTAACATCCTCAATTCTGGCCACCTCCCTCAAGACGTAGATCTACTATCCTTTCCACATGGTTGCCTTCCCAGGGATTTTCACCGTCTGGGTTTCACCGTGTTCCGGGTCCCTTCCCTGCCTCAGCTGTGGCTGGTATTGCCTGGAGAGCTCCGGAGGGAGTGTTGAGAAGTACTCACCTTCACGAAGTCTCAGAAGACCTTTCTCTTAGCCAGTGACCACAAGGATATCATGTCGTGAGAGCTGATTACAGTCCAGGTGACATACCACGTTCATGTGGAACCCCACCTCAGGCACTGCATCCCAACCAGTCTTCTCTGTGCCCTTCTCATTTCATATGACACCAGGCCCCGCCCCCAACTCGTCCTGGAGATCCCGATTGGCCAGCCAGATGCGGAAGCTCGGCCTTTGTTCTGTCATAGTCCAAGCCAAGGAGTAAGAGACAGTGACAGCCAAGGAGTAAGAGACAGTGACAGCCAGGGAGTGATGAGCCCAAAATCTTGTGACTCTGAAATCAACAGGGATCAGGACACAGATGAGACCTTCAAATCTGTGGTTGCAACCAACTCTCGGGTTTCAGGGTCTTATATACCCTCCTTCTTCCTCCTTCTTCTTTTGATTCTGGAGGTGACCGAGGTTCCTGCCAGTGGCTATGAGGTATAAGGTGCCTGCATGAGAAAGTGTCCAAGAGTTGGTCTGTGCAGAGGCTAGGATGGGCCCAGGGCACATGTTTCAGTGTGATTGTATGTCCTGAGGACATGGTGATGTGTTTGTGTGTGCTTTGTGTGTCCTTGTGTGTGTATGTGTCTGTTGAGTGGCTCTTATCTGACCACTGGTAATCTCCTGTGTAGCTTTGTGTCACTGTGTAGTCTGAGAATGAAGTTAGTGTTACTGAGTGTCTGATTCCATAACCAGTGTAGGGCTTGGTTGTATTTCTGCATGGTATCTGAGAATATGGTTGTGTGTCTGTGTGTCTGAGAAGATGGTTGTGTGTCTGACAGTGAGTGTCAACCACAGAGGGGGACCAGCTTGGCACGTGGTCCAGGTAAGAGCATAGCAAGCAGTCCCACCTTTGAGTCATGGACTCACTAGATCAATACCTGATCAAAGCTAATCTTGCGCCCACTCCTTACCCAGCCTGCTTCAGGGTGGGGGTGGGAAAGTAGAAATGGTGAATGCTAAAGACTATGTGTATGTGTTTGGAGTCCCTGTACAGACATGCCCCAAGGTGCAGCCAGACATGCTCAATGTGCACTTGGTGGCCCACACACACAATGATGTGGGCTGGCTCAAGACGGTGGACCAGTACTTTTGTCATGGTGAGCAGGGGTCTGGGCCCAAAATGTAGAAGACTCTTCCCCAGGATGCCTATGCTCCATATGAGCCCCCTAATATCACTTGGTCTCAGATACAGGGGTTTGGGCTGTGTCCAGCACTGGCTCTCTTGTTCTGTGTGACTACTTCTCACCTGTGCCCTTACCATCCACCTGCCATGCACACAGATCCAGAGAACACCTCGTCTGAGTGTGTGGTGAACATCTTGGACTCAGTGGTACATGCCCTGCTGGCTGAGCCCGCCCGCCGCTTCATCTATGTAGAGATGGCCTTCTTCTCTCGTTGGTGGCAACAGCAGACAAAGGCAGTGCAGGAGGCTGTGAAGGACCTGGTGCACCAGGGTGAGCTTGTCACAAGGATCTAAAAGTCCCATCCAGCTTCCATTTCTGTAGCCCTTCCTTCTCCTCCTCTTTTTATGCCAATATGCAGGCATGCACACGTGTTGCTCTGCCTGTCTGGAAATTCCCTTAACCTGGGGAACTCCTATACATCCTTCAAGGCCTCTCCTTTAGTAATCTCTTCTCTTAAAAGTCAGCCACCCTGGGAGAATTTTACCATCCTCTCCACTTCCTGGCCCCACTGGACAAAGATTAACCTCTTACTCCAGGTCTGGGTAATCAGGCAGGTCCTCTTCCCCAGCATCACCCACCTTGGCCTCTTTGTGGGCTATAACCTGTCACTTCTGCCCCTCACTGTGCCCATCCTGGCCAGGGCGCCTGGAATTTGCCAACGGTGGCTGGGTGATGAACGACGAGGCAACCACGCACTATGGCGCCATCATAGACCAGATGACACTTGGGCTGCGCTTTCTGAAGGACATATTCGGCAAAGATGGGCGCCCCCATGTGGCCTGGCACATAGACCCCTTCGGCCACTCGCGTGAGCAGGCCTCGCTCTTTGCCCAGGTGCAGCCACACCCAAGCCTTGACCCAAAGCAAATCAGGGCCGCTCACTTTAATTTGGTTTCGCCGCACACACGTCCCTGCTCTGTGACCAAACAGCTAATTTGCCCCTTTTCAAGCCTCTCAGGCCCACCTCCTTAATGTCCCTTTTAAGCTCTTCTCCAACTCCAGATCAGACCTGGCCCTGCCCCTGCTCATTCTAGCTAACACTGTTTGTTTTCATCCACGTCCACTCTGAATTCTGGTCATGCCCCAACTGTGAACTTGAGATGGGGTGGGGTGCTGATCTTGATTAACCAATGCCATCCTGTTGATTCTATAAGACAGAGTACAATTGCCCCATACGGGTTTCAAGGCTGTAAATCTTTACAGAAACAGACTGCTTCATCTTTCTCCCATGGAGCAGCTGATAGGTTTGAACCACTGACTTTTTGGTTAGCAGCCAAATGCTCTAACCACTGCACCACCAGAGCTCCTTTGATCTGTATTTAGACAGGCTTTATTACCTGTGTTTACACTGAATCTATTCCCTTCCAGCCAGTAGTGTGAGTTTGTAGCTTAAGAGTGGCAGGCACTCTGCCTTCCTGCCTTTACCTGGCCCATTGTGAATTTACTGGGAAAGGCTGGGAACTGGATTTCAACCTTCCACCTTCTGTGCTCTGAACCTGTCCCCTGCTCCCAGATGGGCTTCGATGGCATCTTCTTAGGGCGCTTGGACTACCAGGATAAGTATATTCGAGAAGGAGCACGGGAGATGGAGCAGGTGTGGCGAGGCAGTGCGAGCCTTAAGCCCCCTTCTGCTGACCTTTTCACCAGTGAGTGAGTCTTCTGGGGAAGTGGGCGGATGGAGAATCATGCTCCCAACCTGCTTTGGAGCTCTCAGCAGACCTCTCATCTCACTCCATGGCTGGCCCACAGGTGTGCTTCCCAACCTCTACAACCCACCAGTTGGGTTATGCTGGGATGTGCTGTGCAGTGACCCATCCGTGGTAGAGGAAGTTGGTGACCCTAAATACAATGCTGACAGCGTGGTGGAAAACTTCCTGAATGTGACTGCTGACCAGGTACCCTTGACCAGGATATGGCCCTCACCAGGTACCACTGACAACAGCCTCCAGGTTTCAAGTAGATATTATTCATTGGACTTCACCATGGCACAGGTATCCTCCATATTCCCATCATAACATTGTTATCCCCATTAAAGCCAAAGAAACTGTAAGTTAGAACAGTGAATGCATTATGAGTGTGCCCACTAGTCCACAGTCACACAGCTGGTGGATGGCTGAGCCAGGATGTGAGCCCAAGCAGTCTAGCTCTGGAGACCAGGCATGTTTCCTGGATTTGTGTACATTCTGGCTTAGAAGCTAGCAGCATTGTTCCAACTTCATACTCCCACTGTGTTCAGGAAGCAGCATGGCACCAGACTCACTGTTGGTGGGCCCATAGTAACTGCTCAACAACTCTTTATTATGATAAATATATTCACATGCTCCAATATGTGACTTGTAACCATTACCACACAAGCAGGCATATGTGTCTGCAGTCTTGACAACTCATGACACAGCTGTACACAAAGGTGAGCCTTCACGGCACTCTGGTTTAAGAAGACCCCACCATTCTGCCTCCAGGCCAGGCACTACCGCACCAACCACATCATAATGACAATGGGTTCGGACTTCCATTATAAGCAAGCCGAAAATTGGTTCAAGAACCTTGACAAGCTCATCCGACTGGTCAATGCACAGGTGAGCGTGCTCTCCCTGTTAAACCCTGTATGTCCAATTCATAGGTAGTGTTAGAAGATATTTCAAACAAAAGCATAAAGCTGAATTGATTACTTATTTAAGTAGAGGAGAGCTATGCTCATCAGGCCCAGCTTCTCCAAGTGGAACAGACCCCTGATCTAACTTTGGGTTTTGGGGAAGAATGGTGTTCAGAGTTTGGGAGACTTTCAGAGATAGAGTTGTAGAAATTGTAATCACTTAGCAAGACTGCTAATCAGTTGCTTTCATAAGTGTGGCTTCCAAAAGCACATTTTTGATTGAAAAGGTTTAAAACAGGTTCTAGTGGCCACAAGGTACCATGTCTACAGGTGTAAAAATGGTGTGGCGGAGGCATCTGACCTCCTGAGAACATGTCCAAAGTATGTGAGATGAAACCTCGCTACCTTCACTTCTAAGGAGCATTCTGGCTATATATCTTCCAAGACAGGTTTGTTTGTTCTCTGGCAGTCCATGGTATATTCAATACTCTTTGCCAACACCATAATTCAAATGCATCAATTCTTCTCTGGTCTTCCTTATTCATTGTCCAGCTTTTGCATGCATATGAAAATACTATGGCTTGGGGACAAGTGTGTCTTAGTCCTCAAAGTGACATCTTTGCTTTTTAATACTTTAAGGAGGTCTTTTGAGCAGATTTGCCCAATGCAATACTTTGATTTCTTGACTGCTGCTTCCATAAGCATTGGTTGTGGAGCCAAGTAAAATGAAATTCTTTGACAACTTCAATATTTTATGTCTTTATCATGATGTTGCTTATTGGTTCAGTTGTGAGGACTTTTGTTTTTCTTATGTTGAGGTATAATCCATACTGAAGGCTGTAGTCTCTGATCTTTATCAGTAAGTGCTTAAAGTCACCTTCTCTTTCAGTGAGGCACTGACACATAGTACTGCTCAATAAATGTTAGTGGTTTTTGTTTGTTATTAACACTTCTGGTTGGAAAACTTTTGCTCCTCTTTCAAGGCCCCAGCAATAATGTCCCATCCTCCAGGAACCCTTCCCCACACTCCAGGCTGAACACTTGCTCCCATGAATATCTTTATGCAACATTCAGGACTACTGTAATTAATTACTGATCAGTTTGATGTCTCTCCCACTTAGTTGTGAATTTCATGGTTCATGGTTTGTGATTTGAATCCTGAGCTTACTAAAGAATTAAGTGAATGTTGGTTGGCCAGAAAGTTCATGATTGAGTCTAAGCATCTATGAGTGTGCAGTGCCTTGGCAACATGCATGTGTGTGCATGGTGAGTATTCATGTGGTAGAGTGTGTACACCTATATGGAAAGGCATGTAGCCTCATGTGCATCCCTTCATTTACTTAAATATTTAATGTGTTTCTCCTATGTGACAGGCATCGAGGTATAGAAATGAGAAGAAAAGACAAAAATTGTTGCCTCCATGCCTGAAAATAGACATTGTGGTGTGCACATGGCACATGTATTCTGGCTGGTCTCTGTGTCTCATGGGCCTATATACAAGATGGTGCACTTGTGTTCATGTATAAATTACATGTGTGCACACTGATACAGACCTGCTCACCCAAGCCTGGAGGAAAGTTATTGTAGAAATAACAGTCCAATTCTAGCCCCAGCATTTCTTCAAAAATATCTAGGGTCAATTGTGCTTTAACACTTGTTTTAGAAACACAAATTTGTTCCAAAGTGATAAATATACTAGGAAACTACTTGACCATAACACACATTTTACATTTCTTTATGTGCAATTTCACCCACCTACCCACACAAACACAAACACCCATGCACAAGAGGAATGCAGCCAACAGCACCCTGTTGAACTGAGCCACACAGGAATACACAAAACATACAGGCTTCAACCTCCTACCAGCTATCTCAGCTCACTGTGTGTGTTCTTCTACAATATTCTGTTTGCCACTCCTTGTATTTGTGAAATTTTCTATATTAAAACAGTCATTCAATATCCCAAACACATCAAAGCATCCTAGCTCAAAAGTGGCAGCAGTGAATGTGAAAGTTAAGTTTTAGGGATTGAGTGCTTGAAATAAAGGAAGACGGGGCAATCTACTTTCATAGTGATACTGCCTCGGAAACCCAAGGTGGAGTCACTATGAGTCAGGTCCAACTTGACGGCACATAACAACAACAACAACATAATAGGAGCTCTGGTAGCATAGTGCCTAAGGCACCTGACTGCTAAACAGAAGGTTGGCAGTTCAAACCCACCAGCCACTCCTCAGAAGGAAGGTTGAGCAATCTACTTCCGTAGTGATACCACCTCGGAAACTCAAGGAGGGGTCGCTATCGACTCGACGGCACATAACAACAACAACAACAACATGAAAGAAATGGCAGAGAATGTGATCTCTCTCAAGTAACAGGCATACAGGAGTCCTCATTTCTGACCCACAGAGACCACATGGCAAAAATACATGAAAGATCTACAAATGGAACAGCTTCATCTGCTGTGTAGTCACAAGAGCACAGTCTACAGAAATAGAAGTAGAGGCTGTTGAGCATATGGATTGAAGAACACACACAAATCAGACCTTTTTCACAAAGAAAACCACTATCTATAGAAAAAATAACCCCTCATGGTGCAGTGGTTAAAGCGCTCAGCTGCATACCAAAAGGTCAGCGGTTTGAACCCACCAGCTGCTCTGCAAGAGAAAGATGTGGTAGTCTGCTTCTTAAAGGTGTACAGCCTTGGAAATCCTATGGGGCAGTTCCACCCTGTCGTACAGGGTCACCATGAGTTACAATCAACTCAATGGCAGTGAGTATAGAGAAAAACTAAATAGGAAATTGCCAGATCCTGCAAAAGGTGCTATTTTTAGCATTACTACTGGTTTCACACATTGCCACAATTTCCAAAATCCTCAGTTGTCAGGGTCAGGGAAGTACAGATAAGATGTAGAATTTCCAGCAGTGATACAGAATTAAAAAAAAAAAAAAAAAAGGCCCTATATGGTATCAAATTGTCAAGATTGATGAAAAGGTATCCATTATAAATGCATGCTTTGAAGGACCTACAAAAAAAATGCCCCTAAGGTTTGAGACATAAAGACTGCTTACCTGTGACTTTCCCACACTCATCCACTTCTGCTGTTACTACTTCCTGTCCAGGTTCAAATAATTCTCCTCAAATAATTCACACAGCTCAGTGGCACCCTTCTGATGCCCATTTCCACAAGCTTGCTTCAGATCTGTATCAAGGTAAAGTGTTGTACAGTATTTATTGTATTTCTGCCCTTCCTATTAACATGAAAACTTCCCCTTTATTTGCTACATTTCTTTTTTTATGTGTCACTGATGACAGTATTGTGCCTGTAACCACATTTTCTCCATAAGGCCCAAGGATGTATTGCACATTTTGCTTAGCACAGTGATTTTCAGGAACACTTATGTCATCTTATAGCAGAACTACTGTATCTGGTTCCCCATTAGATTGTGGAAGGCAGAATTGCAGAACACCTACTTCTGAGTTATTCCTAGCACTTCTGAAATTGTGGATGATCAGTGATGATGTGATTGCATGTGGATTAAGTTCGCATCTAATCAGTGAACTTCTGCAAGAATTCGAAAGGCATATTTTAATCCTAGTGTTGAGCTCTCACTATTCACTTTCTAATATAAGTAAGCATTCCTGATTTAACCAAAAATTGAAGTCTGTGGGCTTCATCTGTGTCAGCTTCTTCTGGCCGACAAGTCATGATTGTCTGTTGTCACCTTTGAACACAATCTGTGGCTTTACTGCCCTCTTTCTCTTTTCTGGCTTACAGCTGAAGGGCAACCTCTTCTCCAGTAAAGCATGTGAAGCCCAAGGGGCTGTGGAATTATCTGAAGTAAAAACGATGTTCATAAATGAAGGCCACATTCTTAAGGCCCATGTTCTGCAAGGATTCTATGCATTCTCTCTTTCTTGTTAAATATTTTATTGTGTTTTTGATGGAAGTTTACACAGCAAATTAGGTTCTCATTTAACAATTTCTATACATATTATTGAAGGAACCCTGGTGGCACAATGGTTAAAGTGCTCAGCTGCTAACCAAAAGTTTAGTGGTTGGAACCCACCAGCTGTTTCATGGGAAAAAGATGTGGCAGTCTGCTTCTGTAAAGATTTGGCCTTGGAAAGCCTACGGGCAGTTCTACTCTGTCCTATAGAGTTGCTATGAATTGGAATCCACTTGACAGCAACAGGTTCGGATTTGGGTTGGTATACATATTATTCAGTGACATCAGTTACACTTCTCACAATGTATCAGAATTCTCATTATTTCCGTTCTGGTTGCTGTGTTTCTACTAACCTAGCTTTATTATCCCCTCTTTCCATCTCATCTTTGGTTTAAGATAAATGTTGACTGTTAGGTCTCATTTAGATGATTATTCAGAGGACCACAGTACTCACAGGTGGTATAATTTATTTTATGAGCCACTGTTACTTTTGACTACTAGGTGACAAAGGGGAGTAGCTTGAATTTCAAGTTTAAAGGGTCTCCCAGAGCAATAGTCTTGGAGGTTCCTCTAGTCTTTACCAGCCCAGTCAACTCTGGACTGTCTTTTAAGAATTTGAGTTTGGGGACTTCCAGTAAGAAAGCAGAATAGACAGACAAGCTACACAAACCCTCTTCAACAAAGAAAAGAGAAACCAATTGACACAGATACAGAAGATAGACCTGGAGCCCTGAGCTTTGAAAGGAAGGATACAGAAGTGGATTACAGAGCAACTAGTAGAAGAACCTGACTAAAAACAGTGAAGAAGGAGACAAAGGAGTTGCAGACTGTCAGCTATCCTGATGGCATGGACAGTTTGAATATTTACAAGTGGTATTAGGGATGAGAGGGGAGGGAATACTGCTAGATAGGTAGAGGCAGGTATTGATTTGGGTAAAAGGAAGGGCAATGTATCAAAACTGAGTGATCAACACGGTGGCACTGAGGAAGAGGAAGCCATAAAGTGGTACATGGGAGATACAGACAACAAAG